TATATATATATATATATATATATATATATATATATATCAATCTTATACTAACATTGCAATCATGGTAATTAATGAGATAATAAGATGTTAAATTTAATTAGAAAATCACATTGATAATATTTAATATTTTGATGGTAATTAGTAAAAATAAAAAATTAAATGGTAATTAGTAAAAATAAAAAATTAAAGAAAACTAAATGACTTTTATATTTTAATATAATAATTATTTTGGCTTTATTTTAAATACACCTTTTAATATAATAATTAAGATGCTTTTCATGAACAAGTTATATTCTTATATAATTCAAATATCTAGCTCTTTAACAACAATGTAATATTTTTTCATTTAAAATAGTCATTCTCTTTCTCTTGTAATACAAATGTTTGTTTTTATGATTTAAATATCAATGTACTTCTGCAAAAGTTTTTATCTGTATGTAACGAACGTTTATTTTTATAATTATATAACTATTGTGCTTTAATCTTTTTATTTTCATTTTCACTTCAATTAAATAAGAAATCACATTGCTATTTTTATTTTCTCTTATTTTCTTCTTATCCTAGACCACAACAAATTCTGCAGAGAATGATCTAAATAACTTCCTCTTTATTACATATAACTCGTGAATCATGATTAGCACAGAAGAGACGAAGCAAACAACTAATAATTCGTGATCTGTTGAGCTGGATTGCCTAAATTTGTGCCTTAACGTATCCCAAACCGAAGAAGTTTCCTGTGCTTTTAAGGTTTGAAAACGCAATTGGTTTGGGAAGTAGCCAAATAGGGGGTGGAAGTTTAACATCTCCCAAAACACAAAGCTCGCAAAATAGAAGCATACAAAACAAACACAAGATATTCAAAATCTGAAGAGCACTACTTCGATGTTCAACTACATCAAAAGAATAAAACCCACATGAACTATAAATATCTCTCTAGTTTCTTTTGTATAATCTCTACTTCAGCCGGTGAAAGAAAAACGTAAGGTGTCTCACTAAACTCTCCTTCCTCATCACGTTAACGAGTTGCTGTAGATACACTCCAAACACCCCATAACTTAAAGGAATAGGAGAAAAGGCAAAAATCACACCAAACTGCCTTTATTCTATGACAAACGTTGATGTTGCCCAGTGTTTTAAAATTACAAGCAACAAACACAGTAATTAATTAAGTGCCACAAAGTTATAAACTCCGGTAGGTTGAAGACTTAAAAAGGTTATTCGGTTATCACTTTATCACCAATTTTTCTTTTTGCCTTTCTTTATCGTCTAATAAAATTCAAACGCACAACTTAATCTTTTTCCAAGACTTTTCTGGTCACACATTTTCTTTCCCATAATCAAAAAGCCTCAAGGTCATTATATAGGTCAAGAATATAACTGCAAATTCGTTTTGCCCGTATACCTCAGTCAAAGTTATAAACATAAAAAAAAATATAGATAATATATTCCCAACAGAATCCATCGATTCAACAACAACCCTATCACTCACTAGGATTGAACTTGAAAATCGAATAGAAACTGCATGGTGAGGAAACTTACATTCCTACAATGTGCCATGTACAAGAGGGGCTGTCCAAAGACATGTACATCTACTCAACCTTAACAAAGTATTCGAGGAAGAGTGCTCAAATGTCTTGTCATATCCCGAGTTTCAACAATCAATCAACATATTACAGTTAATTTCATACAAAAGAAATAAAAGAACACTGCACAAAACACCACCTTTTTTGGCAAGAAAAATCTAACGGAAAAGGAAAGGGGAAAAATATATTGTATAGTGTGATTAAGACTCGGTGCTCTCACTCCCACATATGAGCCTACCCTGTAAGCTAAAACAATAATTGGAGAACTAATCTCCCACTTGTGTACATTGAAGATATCTCCATGACCTTACATGGGGTCCCTTGTCAAGCAGCATTAGCAAGCCTGCACTGTCAGACGGTAGCCCGAACATATACCTATAATGATAAGCAGTTCAGATGATGGATAATTTATGGTCAAGCAATCATTCAAGGATTCCCGTAACAAGTTTCTCTCTTTGCACACAAGTTTAACAAAAACAGAAAAAATGCACCCTCTAAGACTCACCTTGTAATAAATAATTTATCATAATTAACAGACACATCACAGCGAATTTGTTATACTAAGTGCGGTTGGTTTGGTGGTAGAAAATCATGTTGGGTACAAAAGCACACACTAATAAGACTGCTTTGTGAGGACTGTATAACTTATACAATTAATGAGAAATTAATTTATAGCCATTCAAAGATTTTTACACTCCTCGATATTGGCCTTTTTGTAAACCACAAAGTAATTTTTGAAGAGATTACGATCATGTATGCATGTCAAGCATTTAATACAATACATTACAAGTATATTTAGTACATTGAACATCAAAAGCCAGGCAGTGAAATTCATCGGGAAATAAAGAACCTTAAGATATATAGAATGCCTGAAAATCAATGTTAACAAATTCTTTTGCAAGCATTATGCATGATGAGACTGCTTGAATCCCACATTAATTGTTTTCTTTAAATGATTTCTGACTAAGGTAGTTGTGAGAATTATTCCTCATTTTGCTCACTTCAGGAAACTGCACATTTCAACAACTCAACAACCAGGCTTCATCCCACTAGGTGTAGTACACAAAATTTGAAACAAAGACTAAAGCTACTGACTACTTACTTGATTTCATGAGCTCTCTTTCTCCAGAAAACAATTGACGCAACCCACTGAACAGGAAAAGAAAGATGAAATAGCATAAGTGCTGCTACTAACAGAATCTTCAATCATGAGATGAATGAAATGGATAGAGATTTTATCAAAGGAACCTTGAGCTAAAAAATGGGTAAATTAAATAGGATATAAGTCCATATTATCAAATAATTTGCAGACACCGATTGATTCTAAATTACCTTGAAAACTGTCAAGAATGGCAAGCTGCTAATAAAGGATCGTGCTGTCATTTTCTTTTGCTGTGACATCTCTTTGCACAATTGTTGAGCTATTTCCTTCAGTAAAACAAGCTGTGCTTTATCAGTGCGCATTGAAATGATTGCCTGCCTCATTGATTCTCTATCAGCCTCAAGTGTTTGAAGCCTCATGCAAAGCTTCTTTACGTACGGATCTTCAAAATCCGCATGATTAACGAACTCCCTTGGTGTGGTTGCAAAATCATCGTAAACACCAACTCCACCTTTGAAATCAGAGTCAATTGTATAGACTTTATCAATCATATCATCACCAGCTTCTGATGCATTATCTACTTTCTTCAAAGGGGAAACGTCATCCGATTGTGAGAAACAATCCATCTTCCTAAAGCTACCACTGAGCTTAGGAGAATCCATCATATACTCGGGACAAAATGAAGACGAGTCGCAGGAAATTTTCCTGGAATGTTTAGCCCATCTTGGAGAATGTCCAACTATCACCTTCTCTAGAATGTTTTTTCCATTGAACTCCCCATCCATTTGGCTATAAGTGGGACTTCTCTCCATTTGAGATATTCTAGTTTCAAGGTTCCTCAAACGGTCCTTAGGAGTTTCGCCAAACGCATATTTATCGATGTCTATTTCATCATTATCAGCATGCATTGCATTACATCTCAAAGGGGGGTACTCATAAGGGGGGAATTCATAGGCATCACCTTCTGCCTCCGATTCAGTGAGGCCATAACTCATCAACCTGTGCTTATAAGCCTGAACCTCACACGAGAGAGACTGGATTGCCTGTTCTCTCTGATACAACAAATCCTCCAATGCCAATAGCTCATGGTGATCATGTGAAGTCCTCTCCTCCACAAACCTCTTGAACTGGCGCGCTTCCATTTGAAGCTCTGCCTTCTCCCTCTGCAACCTCAATATCATTGACATAGTCTCATTCGCCGCCGTGGACGCAGCATTCCTCTCCTCCTCCAATTCTTCATACAAATCCTGTATTGATTTCTGTTGGCTGCTCACTGCCTCACGCAATGCATCACATTCATTCCCAATCTCCACACGCGCCACCGGATCCTGATCAGGGAATTGGCCGTTCTGGTCAAACTCCTTGTGCTTCCTTTTCACAGAACGGAGCCAATTCCCAGAAGATTGAGCTGCCATGGAGCAATCAATACACCCGCACACACAGTGATTACAACATTTAACGGAATCGCCGGAAGATTCCAAATCCATGAATCAAAATTCATTCATTAAAACATTTTGAAAATAAAACGAAATTCAGCGATGATTTTCATATCACCACCACCCCCAACCATTCTCTCCCCCTCCCTCCCTCCATGCCAACCACCGATCAATCATCCAATGAGACACACTCCTATTATTACCAAATATATATAAACAAAATTATGTTATTTTAATAACAATAACAATAAATAAATAAAAGCAAATTTACAGTGGCTTGGAGAAATATTTGAGCTGAAAGGGAAAAATGAAAAGAAAAATAAAAAATAAAAAACAAAAAAGGAAGGGGAAGAATGACCTTGAAGAAATGTGGTTGACGAATGGAGAAAGGGTGAACCCGCTTTCTTGGGAGGAAAGAATGCGGGTGTTTGGTTTGGCCTTTGGAGGGAAGAATGATTATGAAACCCTAAAATTTGTTTTTTACTCTTTCTTTTTCTTTTTATTATTTTCTCTCTCAGCAATGGATTTTAGATTTTCTTGACGTTCAGCTCAATCCTCTCTCTCTCTCTCTCTCTTATCCCCACATAGCATTCAAAATGGATGGTTACTACTTACTTTCACTCGTCTCCTCCTCTTATTTTAGTACTATACACGTATTTAGCTATCTCAATATTTTGCATTTCAAATTGGTTTTAGGTGATGCAATTATTTTAATATACTTAACATTTGATTAGTGACACCTGACAGCAACTTAGAATTGCGGCATTGGTGCAATAACTATTAAGCTAATCATAATCTCAGTTGGCTACCAAATAAATATGAGAGGAGAGGGATAGGAATAGAAACAAAAACATGAAAAGTAAAATGATTTTATAATTTCTTCGGGAGAAATGAAAATCACAAGAAAATTAAGTATAGTTTATGATGCTAGATTTTAATTAAGTATAATATAATTATTTAAGTGATGATTATTTCCTATTTATAAGTATAATATAATTGATTTATAAAGTGATAATTATTTCTTATTTATATATTATTTAATTATTTTATTTTTAAGTAATATAAGATTTTTAACCCATTTTTCTTATGTCAAAAATTAAACATATCGAAATTTGTCATACTAAGTGCGTGTTTGATTTTCATTTTCAAACGTAATTTTATCCTCTCTCCACGTCCATGTATTCATTTACGGATAAACTAATATTTTTTACTTCTAATGAAACGTGATTTTTCACGTCCAGACTCCAACTCAAACACGCTCTAAATATATATGGACAGTCTGAAAACGGTTTGATAATAAATAACGTGATAAATCTACTAAAAAATCGATAATTATAAATATATAAATTTTGATATTATTTAATAACATCTTATAAAAATAAATTAAAAATCTAATTTGATCTTAAAAAATTAGATAAATTAATAAACTTGTGAGTATCATCAATTTTTTTTATTCCTTTTCATTTTTAAAGTAGTTTAATAGTTATATACTTTTATATTATCAATCAATTATAAACATTTACAATTATATAATAAATTTATTGATTTTTAGAACAATAATTTTAAAGCTCGAAAAACATTTATGCTATAAATATATTCTGATTAAATTTTATTTTTATCTTTTGTTAGTGGTTTATAAACTCCTAGTTGGCACACCTAACTTTTATGTTTATTAAGATTTTGCATGGACTTTTTAAGGGGTCATTTAGGATAGGTTTTAAAGAAATGTGAGTCAGTAGTGTAGGGAGTAAAGTAGCTAGGGCCGCACTTTAAGTTATTCATTCATTAGCAATGATTTATCGCTTGAATTAGATATATGTAATTTTCATTCCCATTCACCTTGTCTTTTCTACTATATTTGGCCTTTTTATCTTTTTTAGATTAGCATTAATTTTGACAGGGTGGTTCCAACTTCCTACTTCCTTCATTACTTAGATTTATGTACTACACAGACAGTTGAATTCCACTTTTGATTTATTTCTAAAAATTTATCATGTGAACGTATTTTTAATAAAAATTTATTTATTTTTCACTTAGTTGTAATCAATAATTAGAAACTAATTTTTTAAGCTTAATTTTATTAAAATATATTTTATCTCTCAATAACTTTAATCTCTATTAATATAGATATACATGTATAAAGTGATATGAACTTTCAATCTAACGGTTGAATTTACAAAATTCACAATTAATATAAAGTTATTAAGCGATGTAATACTTAGTAAAAGTTACACCGTTGTAATTATAATCTCTTCACACATACACACATATATATATATATATATATATATAAGGAGGGTTCAAACGACATCGGTGTAACTTTAACTAAATGTTACACCGCTCAATAACTTTATATTAATTGTGAATTTTGTAAATCCAACCGTTAGATTGAAAGTTCATATCA